CAGGCCTCTGGCTTCCTCTGAGCCTCAGGGTTCATTTGCCACAGGCAGAAATGGGCCGGATGACCTCAAAGAGTCAATCATAGTGGACTCTCTAAATCTGAGGTTCCCTCTTCTGGGCTTGTGACCTTTGGTTCTCACCACAGGTTTCCTGTCGAAGCTTTCTCTGCCCTCCCTCATCTGCATCTTTCCACTCTCTCGCAGAGGGACCCGGACCGAGTAGACAGACTTTGTCAGGGCATGAGCAAGAGATGTTGCTGAGGCTGCTGTTGCTGCTGCTGCCCGTGCTGTGGGGAGGTGAGTAGGCCGAGGGGAGAGGGCAGCCCACCCGGGAGAGGCCCTGGAGCTCCAGGCTGAGTTTTTCTCTCTTCCTAGGAGCCCTGGCTAAGGATTCAAACTACCGGCTGGTACTACAGGAATCTGTGACAGTGCAGGAGAGTTTGTGTGTCTTTGTGCCGTGCAAGTTTTACTACTCCTGGAGTTTCGTTGGATCCCCCTACCTGTATTGCTTCAAGAAAGAAGGGAGTAAAAAGCGTGGTCTTCTAGTGGCCACAAGCAAACTAGAAGAGGAGCTACAGGAGACGATCCAGGGCCGGTTCTTGCTCCCTGTGGACCCTGAGCCCAATGACTGCTCCCTGACCATCAGAGATGTCAACATGAGGGACACTGGGACATACTTCTTTCATTTAGAAAATGGACCCTTTGCATATAAATATGAAATTATGTTTATCACTCTGAAAGTGACAGGTATGGTAGGGACCCAAAGAAAAACCCCTGGGTGTCGGGTACCAGAAATGGGTAAATGAAGGCCCCTGGGGTAGGGGTGGGGACAGCCATGACAAAACCCTGGGGCAGGCTGACATGCCGAGGGGTCCTCACCACCTCTCTCTTCACTCCAGCCCTGACCGACAAACCTGACATACTCATCCCACGGCCCCTGGAGTCCGGCCGCCCCCAGAAACTGACCTGCTATGTGCCCTGGGCCTGTGAGGAGAGCACACCCCCCATCTTCTCCTGGACATCAGCAGCTTACACCTCCCTGGGCCCCAGGTCTCATCATCTCTCCTCTGTGCTCACTCTCACCCCACGACCCCAGGACCACGGCACCAACCTCACCTGTCAGGTGCATTTTCCTGCCACTGGTGTGAATGTGGAGAGCACCATCCGGCTCAATGTGGCCTGTGAGTTCTGGGGCGGGATCCCGGGTCCCTAAGGGGCTGTGGCCAGGGCAGAGCTGGACCAGGACAGAGCTGGGCCAGGGAAGAGCTGGGTTAGGACTTGAAATCAGGGTCCTGATAGTCCACCAGGAAGGGAACCCCCTCTCCTGGTTCCATGGCTGCTGGGGAAAGGCCCAGTGCCCACCCATGGATGTCCTTCTGTCCCAGATGCTCCACAGAACATGGCCATCTGCGTCTTTCAAGGAAACAGCACAGGTAGGAAGGGGCCTCTGTCCTCAGGGCTGGGAGGGACACAGGGTCTAGGTGAGCTCCGAGCTACGTGGGATATATAGGGGAGGCCAGCTACTGAGGGCAGATAGAAGGCTCCTCCCCACACCTCAACTCTCTAAATCTCTTGCTCACCCACAGCTTTCTGTGGCCAAATAAAAAGGAAGTTTTCATCCCTCTTGCTTCGCCCTC